CGCCGACCCCCGCCACCCCGGCTGCCACTCTGCCCGACCTGGGCGACCAGCGGGAGCGCTGGGAGACGTTCCAGAAGCGACAGAGGCTCACCTTCGAGGGCGCCGCCAAGCTGCTGCTGGACACCTTGTGAGTGCGGCCGGGCCGGGCGCGGGAGTCGGCGCCACGCGGACCCCCTCGGTGCGGGAGCGGCTGTCGCGCGGGCCGGGGCGGCTTTTCCGCCCTCCGTCTTTCCAGCACCGTGACCGACGCGTGGCCCCGTGGTGGCCCCGGGCGCGTCCCTCATTCGCACGGCCGCTTGCCTTGGCTGGGTGCGGGCTTGCGGCCCTGGACCGGACGGGGCGCTGCGCCCCGGGAGCGTGTGGAGAGCCGCGCCGCGTCCTGGGACACAAAGGGTCTTTCCCGGGGACAGCCATCGTGCTCGGGACGCTGTCTCTCGTCTTGGCGCGCCGAGGGCGCGGGGGCCTTTCCCAGCGAGAAGAAGATAAACCCCACGACTTTGCGCCTACCTGACTCGCTTTTTATATTTGCGCACGTGTTTTTTGGGAGCGTGGGTGCGAGAGAGAGGTGGCGAGGGGGGAGAAAAGCTTGGATAGTTTTGAACCCACCGGGAGGCGAGATCCCGTTATTGTTCCAGGCGTTCCCTGGGAGCGAGCGGAGTGCGGGGGAGGGGGTATTGATCCCCGGGAGAAGCGCGCGCAAAGAGATGCTCGGTATTCTGAACAGCGGCGCGGGTACCCAAGGCGGGGGGCGGGGGGGAGAGGGAGGCCTTGCGCTCTCCGCCGACTTGATGCTCCTGGGTGGCTCGCTCTCCTTCGCGCTCCCCCAGCTTCGCTCCTGCAGGAGAAGAACCTCCATCCAGGTCCTTAGATGGCCAGGGGAGGATTTCAGAGTGTCCGGGATGTTCGAAATGAGCTATTAACTCTGGCAAGGACTGCCTTGTTGTCTCCAAATGTGATAGCATCTAGATCTCTGTCCTGTAGAACAGTTGTGCTACAGAGAAATATTTTTAGTACCCCGATAATCTATCTCTGCGTCCATTATTTTGTGAATTACAAAGAGCGATCGAAATCACAGAAGAAAACAAGGATAACCTAACACTTGCATAACAACCTGAGGGTTACTCCTTTTCTTGAACAAAAATGTTCTTTTGTCCTTAATCCTGAAGCAATTCTCTTAGTTAGGGTGAGTCTTCTCAGAGATAAAATACTTGGTTTTCTGTGCGCTTCACTTTCTGACTTATCATCTTGGATTATGGGCTGAACATTTTTTTATATTCATCATTAAACATTTTTGAGCCCCTGTGGTGAGCCACCAGTTGCTAAGGGGATATAAAGATTCTCAGAAATGTAAAACTCAAATTTGAAGTAAATTTTTACTTTAAAACAAACTTGATAAATGGTCAGGAAAAAAGATTTTTAAACGTTGATAGAAGACAAGATTTTTTTTTTACCCATTAGATTGGTGTGAGTACGTACATTTATTTAAATAACCCAAACTCACTCACTTAACTTACATGCAAAAAGAATGCATAACTCTGCACTGTTTTTGTTAAAATGTTACCATATAGAAAGAAGTCTGGGGAACCATGAGAGATGATGGACTCTGAAAAACAAACTGAGGGTTCTAGAGGTGAGGGGGGTGGGAGGATGGGTTAGCCTGGTGGTGGGTATTGAGGAGGGCACATTCTGCATGGAGCACTGGGTGTTATGCACAAACAATGAATCATGGAACACTACACCTAAAACTAATGATGTAATGTAGGGGATTAACATAAGAATTAAAAAAAAAAGAAAGAAGTCTGGAGGAGTATATAGCAAATAGTTAACTGTGGATCCCTCCAGGTGTTAAGATTACCAGAGGCTTTCCTTTTTAACATTATCAAGTGTAGTGTTTTAATTTTTTTTTTTTACAATGAGCATTATTTGTGTATGCAGAAAAGATTTTAAATACATCAAGTTAACCGATTCAACTTGGAAAGAAACAGGGAAAAGCATTCGGTCTTATGAATCAAAAAAATGCAAATTAAAACTGCCGCAAGCTATTTTTCCGGTAATCATTGCTTGAGCGGGTGGGGTGAAATATTTTCTCATTACTGAGAAGCTTTCAGCCCTTTTGGAGCGCAATTTGACATTTTTCAAACTTAATAATGTTCAACCAAGGGCCTGGCTTATATACGTTTTGAGAGGACTAAAATAGTATGTAATGTGTACGTAGAGCTCTGTAAAGAGTCCTGCCTATGCAAAATCCTGGAGGGGAATATAGCAAAATTCCAAGAGCCTTTCTCAGAAGAAGGCTTTTCCAAACCACCAGCCTCAGGTCTCCTCGTCGTACTTCTTCATAGCTGCCTGCTTTTATCACAGCCCCTTAAATATTGTTTGGGTAATTTGTTTGATGACTGCATGTGATTGGTAGGCCTGGAACACGTCCGCTGTATCTTGTTTACTGCTCGCTCTCTCCCCTGTGCCTAGCTCACAAAAAATCTTAGTAGGTATCTGACATATAAATGTTTGAGTGTGGGATTAGGATCCTCCACCCAACTCCCATTTCGCATATTTTCAGAATGTTTTATTTTGCAGCTTCACGGAATGTAAGAAATAGAAAAAAGAGAGGTCAGAGGAAAGAAGGCACTGAATCTTTTCTTTTCTTTCTTTCTTTTATTTATTTAATTGCCAGTATGTCCTCCTCAAAAGCAGAGGTACATGGGGCTGTCGTGTAGAGAAGACTTTTGTCCCATCTTGCTTCCTTCTTCCAACAACGAGGGAGAGAAAAAGCGGGAGCTAGGGCGCGGAGGTCCTGCCCGACTATTCAGAAGTCCTTATCTTTCTGATTTTTTGTGGTTTCATTCAGTGAATACCAGGGCCTGGTGAAGCACACGGGCGGTTGCCATTGTGGAGCGGTTCGCTTCGAAGTCTGGGCCTCAGCCGATTTGCACATCTTCGACTGCAAGTGAGTGTTTTCTCTTCCCAAGTTGCTTGGAAGGACCTAAGAGTTCAAACGCAGCACTTCGAGCAGCATGTGGGGAGTCAGGCTGCCTATGAAACAGCCCCGCCGGGAGCTGATAATTGTTGGCCTCACGTGACTGCGTGACGGCGGCGTACGAGGTCGTTCTATTTTTTTTTTTTCCTTTCATATGTGCTAGGTGTTTTCAATAATAAGATTTTTTTTTTTTGAAACATGGGGGGGCGCTAAAAATAACTGGGCCTGCTCTGTGCATGTGTGTGTGTGAGAAAGAGAAAGCTCACTCCTACAGCAGAGCCCCAGGGGACACAGAGTAGGGTCCTCCAGCTTCTGCCCCTCAGTGTCACCCCTCAGACCGTACCATTGGTGGGGTGACGGGGAGTGGTGATCTCTGGACATAGGTCAGCCCGGGGGACTGAATGAAAAGCCTTGGGTGGGCAGAGTCCTCATAGGAGTCCAGAGCTGGGCACAGGTGGAGGGGAAATGAGCAGAGGGTGTATACCCCGGGAAGCTTACCATGTTCCAGGCCTTCTGGCTCTGTTCTAGATGAGGCAGATGGTTCTGCCAGGATCTGAGGACGGTCGCCTTTTAGCACCTTCCCAGGCGTTGTGATAGAACAAGGACAGTGACATCTGAACCAATAGCACATACCTCCTTGTTCGACAGGATCCAGTCCTGTTAGAGAATTCTGCATGAAATCAGGAATTTTTGTCAAGACGGACTGAAAAGGGGATTTAGATTTCATCCCGAAGGTGATAATTCGGAGGACCCATTTGACTCAGAGCTAGGCTTTCTGTGATGGACAGAGGAGGGAAGCGGGAAACGGAGGCCTCCTTGTCCGTTTTTGGTGTCGGGGTATCCCAGAGAAGTAGATTGGAGCTACGCCTGATATTTGTTTTGCAAACGTCTCTAGAATCCAACAGTTCCCTTCACTGTAATAATCGGGGTGGGGGGAGGATGGGCAGCAGGGATGTGGTTGTGACGGGCCTGGCTTTCCGAGGGGTACGTGGCTTTGACTGCCGAGCAGAGGCCTGTCCATCTGCCTGGGCTCCCCCTTCCCTGAATGGCGCCGAAAGGGGCTTCCCTTCTGGGGTCAGCCGGCTCTCGGGACATGCTGGGTTGGGCCCCGTTGGGCCCCCAGAGGGTACAGATGCTTGTTTATAACCTGAGAATTCCTCTGTGTTTTTGTAGCTGCAGCATCTGCAAGAAGAAGCAGAATAGACACTTCATTGTCCCGGCTTCTCGCTTCAAGCTCCTGAAGGTTAGTACTAAGAGCAGGCGTGAGGAGCCCCTGGCTTACAGCAGGTGCCCCAGGGAGGGTCAGGTGGAAGGGAGCAGAGCAGGACCTCTTCTGGGAGCTCCATTGTCCTTGTCATCCTGGGTTTCACGTGTATTTCTGAAAGGTTATGTTATTTTTCCCCTTTATATTTTGGATGCATACTTGATATTACTGTGAAAACATTAAAAATGGAACCAAAAAGTAAACGATCACTCAAATCCTATCAACCAAAAGTAACCACTGATATATATAGGTGTATATCCTTGTGCATTATTTTCTACCTGGGTAAATACAGCTAAATAATATTAACAATGACATTGTATATGTCGTTATCAAGATAGGATTTTGCCTTTTGTTCTGGTCTATGATCGACTTTTATCATTTCCCAATGAAGGATATATATCTTCAACAAATTTTTTTAATGGTGAATTCAAAATTTTATTGAGGTACAGCTGACATGTAACATTATTAGTCTTAGGGGTACATCAGAATGACTCATTATTTGTATATATTGCAAAATGATCAGCACAATTAAGTAATTAATGTCTGACAACATACGTAATTAAAAAATAATTTTTTTCCTTCTGATGAGGACTTTTAAGATTTCTTCTCTTAGCAGCTTTCAAATATGCAACAACTGTGCTCTTAACTATAGTCACCATGCCCATTTTATTTTATTTTTTATTTTTTAAAGATTTTATTTATTTATTTGACAGAGTTAGCACAAGCCGGGGGAGTGGGAGAGGGAGAAGCAGGCTCCCCACTGAGCAAGGAGCCCGATGCAGGACTCTATCCCAGGACCCTGGGATCATGACCTGAGCCGAAGGCAGACACCCAACGACTGAGCCATCCAGGCGCCCCCGTTTTATTTTATTTTTAAAGATTTTATTTATTTATTTGAGAGAGAGAGAGAGCACAAGTAGGGGGGAGGGGCAGAGGGAGAGGGAGAAGCAGGCTCCCCACTGAGCAAGGAGCCCGATGCAGGACTCTATCCCAGGACCCTGGGATCATGACCTGAGCCGAAGGCAGACGCTCAACTGACTGAGCCACCTAGGCGCCCCTCCATGCCCATTTTAGAACTGAAAGTTTGTACCTTTTGACCTCCTTCACCCATTTTGCCCACCTCTTCTCTGGCTCTGACATTAAAATGGTGAATTTAATGGCATGTGAATTATATCCCAATTTTAAAAATCAAGTGCATGTCTAATACTAATAATGAATACTAAGAAACTGAAATTAAAACCATCATACCATTTCAAGTAATGGAAAGAAAATTAAATAGGTAGGTGTTCAACTAACAAAACATGTCCCTGATCTATGTACTGAATATTACAGGAAGCCGATGAAGTTACTAAAGAAGAACTTAATAAGTGGATAGACATCATATGTCTATGGGCTGGGAACCTCAACATAGTATTGATGTTCATTCTCCCCACAGTGTTTATAGATTTAATGCGATGTCTATCAAGATCCCAGGAAGGCTTTTGCAGACATATACAAGATTGCTATACATTTTTTTAAAGATTTGTTTATTTATTTGAGAGAAAGAGAGAGAGCATGAGCAGGGAAGGGGCAGAGGGAGAGGGAGAGAGAATCTCAAGCAGACTCTCTGCTGAGCATGGAGACCAAAGAGGGGCTCGATCCCACAACCCCGAGATCATGACCTGAGCTGAAACCAAGAGTCAGTTGCTTAACTGACTGAGCCGCCCAGGTACCCCAAGATTACTGTAAAATTCACATGGAAATACACAGGCCCTAAAATAGCTAAAATAATGTCCACAGGGAACAATGAAGTGGGAAAAAGTAACTCCACTCAATATGAAAGCTTCTTCTATGCACACAGTCATCGAGGGAGTGTTAACATGGTCAGATAGAGATGTAGATCCATAGAATCTCTTCTATCAAGAGGCCCAGAAGTGGACTCACTCCAGTTTGCTCAAATTATTAAAGTTTCAAAGCCACTGTTTCCTTGTTGATTTTCTGTCTGGGTGATCTACCCATCGATGGAATTGGGAGTTAGGGCCCCCTACTATTACCTATTACTGTCCATTTCCTTAGGTCTGTTAATAGTTGCCTGATGGATCTAGGTGCTCCCATGTTGGGTGCATTGATATTTACAACCGTTATGTCCTCCTGTTGGATTGTTCCCTTTGTCATTACGTAGTGTCCTTTGTCTCTTGTTAGGGTCTTTGTTTTCAGATCTCTTTGGTCTGATGGCAATGTTGCTACCCCCGCTTCCTTTTTGCCTCCATTTGCATGGTCAGTGTTTTCCCATCCCTTTACTTTCCATCTACATGTATCTTGAGGTCTGAAGTGAGTCTCTTGTAGGCAGTATATTGATGGGTCTTGCTGATTTAAAAAATTGTAACTTTATTATTTCGGGGAGTTTTCTTGTGCTTGGTACACATTTTTGAAAGGTACAAAAGTAAGTCTTCCCTCCATTGCCCCTCGGTCCCCGAATCTCTTTCTCCCCCACAATCCTTTCCTAATTTACTTATGCTGTTAGTCCTGTACTTGCAGCACTTTTTTTTCCCACAGGATATTTTGTTATGTGAATGTACCAGAAGCAGTTTCCTATGTTTAAACTTCTAGGTCGGGTGCCTTTTTTTTTTTTTTTCCCCAATTATAAACAACACTGTGGTGAACCTCCCTGTGCATAAATCTCTGGTAATTTAGAAGTTATTTCTTTCGGATCAATTTTCTTAGAAATAAAATCGCTGGTCAAAGAATGCAAGCTTTTGGGGCACCTGGGGAACTCGGTCAGTGAAGCATCTGCCTTCGGCGTGGGTCATGATCCCAGGGTCCCGAGCCCCGTGTCCAGCTCCCTGCTCAGCGGGGAGCCTGCTTCTCCCTCTCCCTCTGGTGCTCCCCCTGCTTGTGCTCTCTCGCCGCTCTCTCTCTGTCAAATAAATAAATAAAATCTTTAAAAAAAAAAAAAGAATACAAGCTTTTTAGTAAGGCTTTTGGCAAGATGGCTGGGTGGCTCAGTCGGTTAAGTGTCTGCCTTCAGCTTGGGTCGTGATCCTGGAGTCCTGGGATCAAGTCCCTCGTCTGGCTTCCTGCTTGGCGGGGAGCCTGCTTCTCCCTCTCCCTCTGCTGCTCCCCCTGCTTGTGCTTTCTCATTCTCTCTCTCTGACAAATAAATAAAATCTAAAAAAAAAAAAAGAAAGAAAAGACTTTTGGCCTAGTGTCGCTAATATGGGGTGGGCTGGGGCTTTCATTCCATCCTTGGTTCCCCTCGCCCCCACTGTGGTCTGACAGACTTCACTGTTCTTTGGTGTAATGGTGTGTTTCCACGTCTGTCTCCTCTGTAAAATCGTTGGGGTCTCCGAGCGTCATCTTTAGTCACATCTGACCAGCTCCTGGCCTTGCAGGCTTGGCGTTGAATAGGCACTCCGTGTCTGGGAGGAACCACTAACTGAGTGAAGGAATGCGTGAGTCCTGGCCTTTCCTAGTGAGTGAGATTTAATCCCAGACACTTGGGGCCACTTTGTCTCCTTTTCTTGATCCTTCGTGTGGGTGCCTGGTGGACGAGGGGGACCCTTGGGTAACACACTGCTCCCTGTTTTCCCCGTACACCCAGAGAATGCCAGTTGTTCTCCTCGGAAGCATGCTGGAGGCTATGGCCCCAGTTCAGCTTCGCCCCTGAGCGTCCGTGGCGGATGGTTCCTGAAGGCGCCACCAGGTACAGCCATAAGGTCTTGGGTCTCGGAATTGGTACTTTCCCCCCTTTATTTCCTCCTTGGGCCTGCTTATCAGTGCATTTCCTGGTGCCCTAGAGCACCATACTTGGCCCCAGCCTGTTGAAGGAGTGATTTGATGTTTTGTTGGTTTTTGTTTTGTTTTTTAAATTTTATTTATTTATTAGAGAGAGAGCAGAATGAAGAAGAGAGCACGGGGGGGTGGGGAGAGGGGTAGAGGGAGAAGCAGCCTCCCCAGAAGCAGACCTGAGCTGGAGGCTTAACTCAGCCCCCCAGGCGCCCTGACACAGCTTTTATCCTTTGTGCAGTGTGCAGCCCGCGGAGGGTTTGGAGCAGGCTAGTGACAGGCCTGCTTCAGTGCTTTCAGAGCTGGCTTTGGCCGCTGGGTGGGGAACGGACTGTGTGGGGAGGCAGCCGCTGTGACAGGGAGGCAGCTAGGAGGTTGCTGGGGTGGCTAGGCGAGAGGCGATGGGAATACGGGCTCGGGTGGCGGTCACGGAGATGGAAACAAAACAGATATTTGAGATTCATTTCAGAGTAGTGGCTCTCAGACTTCAGCGAGTGCGTGATCACGTGGAGGGCACGTTAGGGAGCTTGCTGGGCCCCACTCCCGATTCTCTGGGTCTGGGAGCGGGACCCAAGGATCGACCTTTCCTACGAGGTCGCCAGTGACGGTGATGCTTCTGGTCCCGGGGCCACGCGCTGAGAACCCCCGTTTCAGAGGCAGGGTGAGCATCGGGGGCTCTTTCTCGGAAAAGTTGAGATGTCGTCAGCAGTCACAGGGACAGAGATGGGCCGGGGGCCGCTGGGTGCGTACGTCTGGCGTTGAGAGCGTGCAGATCCGCTGCTTCTGCTCCCGGAGTGGCTGGCTCCTGGACGCTGAGAGCTGAGAGGCTGCGTGCGGCCGGCTGGCTGCCGGTGTGGCCGGTGACGGGAGGGGGCCGAGGTCAGAGCCCTGGGGCTCGCCGACATTCACGGGGGGTTGAACAGAGGGGCCTCAGAAGGAGGAAAGTCGGTCGAGTGTGCTGTCCTCAGAGACCCCTGTTTCAAAATGGAAGGACTGGTACTGAGAGGTCAGGTTAAGAGGAACCAGTTCCGAATCTAGTGGTCAAGAAAAGCAACCATTAGACCGGCCAGCAGGGCGGTCATTGGCGGTTTCCGCTGGGGCAAGAAAATAGAAGTCGCCAGAAAGGTAGAGTATATGGCAGTGTGATGGTGACAGGCCGTGGGTGGCGGAGTCAGGTTGGCAGGTGCATGGAATACTGTGCGGATGAGAGTCTGAATGTCGCCGAGTGACCTCCAGTAAGGAACAAGGTGAAGTGTGAGGCAGCCCCTCCCTGCCCACTGCCCCCGATCATTTCTTGGGGGAAAGTGTCCGGTCGGATGACTCTGGGTGGTTTAGGACCACTTAGCAATTGTTCTTTGCTGCTTCTCTGGGTAGTGGCATGACGACTCAGAGCTGTTTTTACGGGAGGCACAGAGCTCTGAGGGTCTTTCTGTCCTGCGGTGCTGGGTGGCAGGCTGCGCGGAAAGGATGGGAAGGTCTAACTCTGGTGAGAACCTCCACCCCTGACCCTCCAGCCACACAGTTTCTCTCCTTGGAAACCACTGTTTCTTGGCTATTTCTTTATAAATATATGTGTAAAGAAACATGCATATGAATGTGTGTGTGTGTGTGTATATATATATATATATGTATGTACAGGCCAAGGTACATCCTTCTTTAAAAAATAGAAATGGTAAAAAAAAATAGAAATGATAATATACTGTACAAATTATTTTATACCTTGCTTTTTCACTTAACGTTTAACCTTGGAGGTTGTTCCATATTAGTATTTGGAAGTAGAACTGTCTTTTTTTTTTTTTTTTAAGATTTTATTTAGGGCGCCTGGGTCGCTCAGTCGGTTGGGCGTCTGCCTCCCGCTCATGTCATGATCTCAGGGTCCTGGGATCGAGGCCTGCGTCGGGCTGCCCGCTCAGCAGGGAGCCTGCTTCTCCCCCTGCTTGTGCTCTCTCTCTCTCTCTCTGAC